CTTCCCTTCCCTTCCCTTCCCTTTTTTGAGCAAGTATTTCTGCCTTGCCCTTCTTCACAATCAGTTTCTCCTCGAAGGCTCATTTAAAAATCCAAAACACTTGTCAGAGAATGTTTCACATTGTTATGGAGGTAATACATTAGGTGAGAGACAAGTAGGTCTCTTTTTTACCAGGGACTGTAAAGCTTCTGCTTCACACAGCTGACAGATAAAAAAAACGTCTGTGGAGAAATGAAGAAAATTGGTTGAATGATTCTGTAAGATTTAAAGTACAGGCAAATAGTTCATTTAAGAATATTAAGAATTGCAGATCACCTCTTTTAAAGATGACACTTTTATGTACAATTTAGTGAAGCAGGTGAGATTTTTAGAATCTACTGAAAAATGCTAACTCAAATCATGAGAGAGAGACTCTTTTCAATAGTGTGTAATGACAAGTCAAGGTGGAATGTCTTCAAACAAAAAGCCAGTATTTTTAGATTAGATATAAGGAAGAAATTCTTTACTGTGAGAGTGATGAGGCACCAGCACATGTTGCCCAGAGATGTCAGGGATGCCTCATCCCGGGAAGTGTCCAAGGCAAGGCTGAATGGGGCTCGGAGCAACCTGGTCTAGTGGAAGGTGTCCCTGCCTATGATAGGAGCTCTGGAATTAGATCTCTGTATTCTCTTTCCACCTGAACAATTTAATGATTCTATGATGTTTATTAGTAGGAAATATGAAAAAATCTGTAGGAAAAGATGGGAATGAACTCACAGACTGTGATGTGTGTTGTGTTTTGAGCATAACCTGCATCATTAAAAATGAGCATAACCTGCATCATTAAAAATGTAGCTTTGTGTGTTTCCTAAGGAAAGCTGTTACATTTCATAGTTTCATAGTTTCCTTATGTTTCATTTCATAGTTTCATAGTTTCCTTATGGATTAAGCGCCAATCTGTTAATGTCTGTCAGCCTTCATAACTCCTGCACACCACTGCTTAGTGCAGCCGTTGTTATCAAGACGTTGACTGTATGTGTATTTCACTGTTTTTTTGCTAAATAATGCAGAGAGAATTGCCTTGCTGTAAAGGATCTCTACTGCTTTAAGGAATGGCTTTCAATGGAGGAAGACTCTCATAAGGGAATTTACAGACCAGAGCTGATGCTGCTCACACTTCCTGAATGCAACAGGCTGCCCAGCCTGCACCAGGATCCCAGCTCCTGCACCCGCATCCCTTTCTTTGGTAAGGTGGCACACCTGTCCATTGTCCAGAGAACTGTGTTCTTGGTAAGGGAGGGGGGAAGGATGCAATCCATAACTCACAACTAAGTAAAAGCTGATGGTGGGTACCATCCTGTCAATGCCTGTGCATTGAACTGTGACAGCTGCATTGGCTATTTGCCTGCCTCATTCGACTTGGGTGTGGGAAAAATCCCTCAAGTAAAAAAAGCATGACTCTATTGAGAAGGCCATAGCAATCTCAAAAACCAGTCTTAATGACAGCAAAATTGCCATTGAGGTGCCATTGCAAAGAGACAAGTTGCTTAAGCACTGTTAGGGGTGAAACCTTTTCATGTAATGTTTCTAAGCAAGCACACAGGTTATATCACATCCTGGACAGTCCCTCCTTACGTCTTGTCTTGTCTTTTTGCAGATTTTAAGAAGGAGAATATAACCAGTAAGTAGACTGCTCCAGGGTCTATGTTTTTAGAGATGGGCATGAAATTCTTTGTTGAAGATGCAGTTTGCACAATATTTTTGTGTTTTTCTCTGGTCCTGGCTGGCTGGATTTGGGAATGCCTGAGTTTCTACATCCAAGGCATGGGGAAACACATTTCCAGCTCTTCAGAGCTTGGGGAGATCATCAACTGGTAGCTTTCAAAGATTGTGAGAAAGTCATGGTGATTTTAGGTTGTACCCTCCCCTCCAGCTGTTTCCCTTTCTTTCTACACTTTGCTTCTAGTACTGCTTTACCTATATTTGGTAATTCTGATACTGCTACTGAGCTCATCCCGGTCTTATGTGCTGTTACTGACATGGACACCTATGTCAGGCTGTCCTTGCAAGACATTATTACCCAGAAGTTCCCCGTACTCTTCTTAAATCATCTCTAAAGTCTTGCGGTTTCTCAAGTGATGCCTATGACCAATGGTGAGACCCAGACATTCCCTGCAGTGCTGCTATGATTTCTGTCAGCCTCTTGGCCTGCTGCTGGTCATGGCTGAAACATGCATATCCAGCTTTTACACTGACATGCAACTGCAGCTTCAAGCTCAGCCACTGCTTGCCCTATTGGAAAAAGGAACAATCTCTCCTGGCATGTTTCTAAGCCATCAAGGTGTGCAGTCTTGGCAGTGACAGGCACCTTCTGCATGGAGAGAGAAAATTATTTGTAAAAAGGCAAGAAAAATTTTTGGGCAATATTCTTTCATGTGAAGACCTTGGCTACACCTGGCCATCCAAGTTCCACGTACCTGGTGATGCATACTTGGGAGACAAGAATTTCAGCACCCTCTGGACACTCCAGCATCACTGCCCAATGCTTACAGTCATCATCTCCCTGGGGAAAAGAACACAAGAGATGGATAACAGCGAATGAGTGGTGTTTTCAGGTTCAGGACATGCCCTCTGTCTCATCTGTAAATGTATGACTTTTTTGTTAGCTATCATAGGATTTTCCCAAAGTAGCATTGTACAGATGTGCAATATTCTGTCATGAATCAGGAGAACATAACAGAACATTTTAGTGATATTGACCTCTCTTTTTTACTTTAGGGCCCCTGTTACTTACATAAAGGTGTGGGGAGCATGAACTGAACTGTCTTCTAGCTTGCCATCAAATTATTCATTAAAGTCCAGATAGACCACCTATATTATACCCTCTGTCCTCATTTTAGCAAGACCATCTGTGAAAGCATTTGCATTTTCCACAGTACTAAGAACTCAGGAGGGCTTCCTTAGTGTTGCTGTTGCCCCTAAAGCTGTTGTTTCTCTCGGCTGCCAGACTGACATTTTTCAGATCTGTGCAGAAGTCTTTTTCATGTTCATGACTGACTAAGTCATGAGTCACATGTCAGTCATTGCTTTCCTTTCCTTTGAATGTGAGACATGTAAAATGCTGGGCTCTGGCACGTGTACTAGGGCAGCTTAGCAAGATTTTACACCTCTACAGAGCTACAGGTCCTTGTCAAGTAAGGGCTACTAGCTTATTGCAGATGTGAGCCGTAAATGGTATTTACACATCAGTCAAAGAAACCAAGTTAGAGTATTTTAATTTGTGTTCTCATGAAGTCCATGCTCATTTCCATACTGAGGGGCCTTGGGCCTTTGTTTAAGCTCACTCACCTGGAGCAAACACTTTCATGGTGGTGTTTCTACCTACTTGTCTAGTGCCTGCTGCCTGGTGAAACCTCAGAAAGCCAAGGATCTATGAAGAAATATAACTGCAATCCCGAAGTGCAGTGGCTAATTCAAGAAGAAAAGATAAAATAGTAATCATGGTGCACTGACTGTAGTCCTCCTACAGGAAAAACAGGATAATCTGTGAAGATAAATTAAAACACATAGCCTTTTCTCAAATTTGGATTAAAAGTTATACAAAGCTTTCATGACACTGAAAAATATTTGCTTAAAAGTAATTATTTTAGAACACATCAGGTTTCCTCCTTTTTTATTTTTTTTTGGTTTTGAGCTGCAAGTTTATGAACATAATAGAAAATAAAATTATGAAAACACTATTTGCTGGCTGGTTAGTTTATCTAATGAGGTTAATAATGGAGTCGATCATAATGCATGCCATCAACCAGAATGTTAGCCCCTGCTCAGCCAAGTTTATGAAAGATTAGCTAGCCTGTGTTAAAGTGGGTAAGGCTGTATCACCTTTGCTGTCATCCTGCGTCCTAGATTATGCCAGCGTACATTAAACTCTTCTATGAGGACACGTGATGTCTACATTTATGCATATTGCTATAGTAAAATCCTCTCAAGATTTTCTGATTTATTTTTCTGCAGCTTCAGCAAGCCTTATGTATGGAAAATTATAAAGAACATTGTTTTATGCTGATATTCTTCCTTCAGATCATAGCTGCCTTCAGTTTATGGTTTCCACACATGCTGGAAAACACAGGCTGTTTCCAAATATTCAGACAGGACAGGCACTTTACAGAAGGAGTACCTACCCAAGGAACATGGATGTCTTCCTATTAGTGCCCCTGTAAGAGTGCAGGCTGTGAATCATGGAACCAGTGCTGCAATATGCTTTCTGCCTCGCTTTGCTATCAGCGGGTTCATGCTCTTCATGTTCTGCACGGAAGTGGTATGAACTAGGTAGCTGCAGCTCAACCATCACAGGCTCATGGACTGTTTTTCCAGTCTGAAAGAGCTTCAGTTCCCTTTTTGGAGTTCTGCCAGATTTGATCTTATGTATTGAGCTCAGAAATTAAAGCGTGAACAGGAGGCTAAGCAGTGCCCTGTCTTCAGTTGTCCTGTCCTTTTAAATGCTTCAGGTCTGTTGCTAATTTCTACATGCGCTCATGTAATGATATGAAATTTATTCTTGTGAGCCCTTGCTGCAGGACATAGTCTAAGATGTCTTGACGCCATGTTGGTTTTTTTCCCTCCCAGGGACTTGCTACAGTGCCAATGGCCAGTTTTACCAGGGCTCAGCCAACGTCACAGCCTCTGGCATTCCTTGCCAGAAGTGGAGCGACCAGGTGCGCATCAGTGTGAGACCTGCCAAACAGAGAGCTGTGTTTTTCCAAAGAATTTCTGAGACCCAGGCAGCCTAGTCACAGTGGAAGGGCTGGGCAGGCAACAGGTTGCCTTAATTCTTGAGTTCACCAGTGTTTCACAAGTGCTTCTTATTTCAATCTGCATATTCCCCTTCCTGTGGCAAGATGTATTCTCTGTCATTCTGGCAGGCTACTGTTTCAAGAAAGGCTCTGCCTTTCTTCACTCCTTTGTTTTGTTTCATTTTGTTTTGCTAATAACAGCAGGAAAAACTATCCTGAAACACTAATCCAATTTTCTTCCTCTCCCAAGGCTCCCCACTTGCACAGGAGGACTCCTCAGGTTTTTCCTGAGCTGTCTGATGCTGAAAATTATTGCCGCAATCCAGGAGGTGAGAAAGAACGTCCTTGGTGCTACACAAAAGATCCAGCTGTGACCTGGGAATACTGCAGTGTGTCTCCCTGTGGAGAAGGTAGGCAACTGTAATTTATGATTTCTGCCACTGTGGGGTTTTTTGGGCCGTGCAAGGTATTTGCGTCCTGAGTACACCGATCTGTTCTGCCTTCTGGATTCATCTAGTCCTCTTACAGATTCACTCAGCATCCTTAACCAGAAAGTGTAATGTGCACCTTACAGAGGGTAACATGAAAATAGGCAAATTGAGCACCTTGCCCTAGATTACATAAATGCCAAAGTATGAAATAAAATTTCCTATGGTATTCTGAAAAATATCACTCTGTGTTTTGAAGGTAGGGTTTCAGTCAATTTTCCAAAGTTGTTTTTCTTTGGCTCTTTCTTTATTTTTTCAATAATAAAAAAGAATTTTAACTAAAGAAAAGACTGAAAAAGATGGAAACATCTTGGCTCTGTCATGCTGAAAATAAGTATTTGTCACTTCTTGTTCAAAGAACAGAGCAATTTTTGAAAGGTATTTCATCCAAGATTCACAGTTTGTGGATCTCAGTGCTTGGAAATAAGACAGTTCTTGCACAGAGAACAGGAGTTACATGGGCATAAGTGAACACAACTAATTTTTGGTTTAGCTGGCCTTAAAAAGAAGAGTTTAAATCTCTTTCTGTTCTCAATCATTGCATGTACAGAGTAGCATTTTCTAGAATGTCTCAGAAAGTACTCAGCAGGTAGTTACATGATTTTTGTTTCTCTAATGATATAGCCAAGTGTGGTTTACACTAGTTTTCTGTATTTGCCCCATAAAGACACCGAGATGCAAATTGTTGGAGGCAAGGGGATATTTCAGGAAAGTACCACTGTGTACTTAACCTGGACTTACACCCTCTCTGCAGATTCCTTTTAGGACACATGATACATTGCAGCCCACATTGTAGACCACTTATCTTTCCCAGCAGATATTACTATATTTGAGTACTTTTGAGACCATCAGATGTCATCTCCCATCTTGCATATTCCATACCAAAACTGTGTTCCCAGCATAATGGGAACTCTGTCTTGGTCTTTACCAGGCTTGGGATTTTCACTTTTGGCAAAAAAAAAGAAGGTTTTTCTTCCTTCAAACCAGGCTTCCCAAGTATGGTCCTCTCATGTGGTCATGTAGTTGTATCTGTCAGTAATACCCAGGACATCAGGCTGATTCCATAAATTCTTCTTAGTGAAAGATCTATAAACTAGCAGAGGCATAACCTTCTGATTTTCTTTGCATTACAGCATTGTTATCACTAGGAACAGGCAAACCAAACGGGGAGACTCTAAATCTCCATCCTCCTCCTCCCTTTTCCCCTACATACTCCATGACTGTTATCATATCGATCATCTCCATCTTTGCTCTGGTTGTGATTTTTGGCATTGTCACCTTGGTTTGCTGCCGTCGTCGAAAGCAGTGGAAAAACAAAAAAAGGTAAAGCTTGGGACTTAATTCTATCCAAGAACTGATGCTTTGAAAGGGGGCTTGCATATTTCTGAGAGCATAGGCCTGTGAACACCTGGTAGTGAGAAGCAGCCCTCCCTCTGCCTGTGGCAGCCCAGGGCAATTTCTGGCGAGCTCCTGTGCCAGAGCAGAAGATGGCCTGGTGACTGGGGACATGGCATGACACCTTGATGCAAGGCTCTTTCAATAGCCCTGCTGCACCTTTCTTTTCCATTCTGGAAGAAATAAGGCCATGAGGGGAGGTAGGTAATTACCTCCTGGCTGATGGCTCTGTACCAACTGACAGAAAACCACTCCATTGTTTCAGGGAGTCAGAGACACCAACGCTCACCACTCTGCCCTCTGAACTACTTCTGGACCGGCTGCACCCCAACCCAATGTACCAGCGCATGCCTCTTCTCCTCAATCCAAAGTTGCTTAGCCTTGAGTATCCCAGGAACAATATTGAATATGTGAGAGATATTGGGGAAGGAGCATTTGGGAGAGTCTTCCAAGCCAGGTAAGCAGTCTCTGTGTGAGTCCTCTATCTGGAGCTACCTGTGAAAAACAGGGACTGGAAAATTAATCATTCTTTCATTCATTCATTTACTCTATATGAGATCAGATGCATGTGTACCAAATGGTACACTCAGACTTGAATAATTGTTTCTGTTGTCCACTGCTATCTGTTGATATTTGTTAAACTTTTGTCACAAATGACTGTCTTGGTCTTCTCTCTAGTAGATGTAATGCCTTATTCACACACCAGAGTCTGGTGTAAAAGTTTAGCTAAATTTATCATCACTGTTTTTGCCAAGAGTATTGCCTGTGACATGTGACCCATTGTGAAATTCTTGCACTTCCCAGTATTTGTGAACTGTCAGTGTGTGGTGTCCTCCATTATAACACCAACATTAGCCAGTAATTACCACAGAGGGCAATATGTCATGCTACAGTTCAATCCTGACCTGGTTTCAATTTGATTCAGTGACAAAACCAAACCAAATCAAAATTCCCCTAAACCCCCACCATGCTTAGGCCAACAATTCTTTTGTGTGTATGTCTGTGGCGTCCCACCCTTAAGGGGAAGGGACCACCCGAGATTCATAGATGCTCATTGTGGAAAGGAATAACAAAAGCCAGAGGATCTGCAAAACCTTACAAAGTTTTGTTAATAAATTACACACCTGGCATGGAAATTGTTATGTTATAGTCCCTGACCTCCTATATGAGCACATGGCAGTGGGTTTTGCATAAAGTGGTAGTGTGAAAGGGAAGGGAGAGAGAGAGATGGGATAAGGGAGGAAGAGAGAAAGAAAGGAGGAAAGAAAGATCAATCCAGGATCTTGTGTCAGTCTAGCTGATGGGATGTCTAGGGTTCTGGGATGCATGTGTGCTCAAGCCTTGTAGGGGTGCATTTGGATAGATTTTCCTGGCCCTGGAGTTAAGTTTTTGGCTCTCTATGCAAACGCATTAGCATGCACAGTTTGTTCTTCTAGACCTTTCTGGAAATAAGTTGGAGGACTTTGGGGGTCTTGGGTACTTTTGATTCCCTTCTACAGTCCATGCCTTCTTAGCCCCATTCCTGTGCCTGCACTGTACTGTGTTGTGCTTATCTCCAGAAGCCAGAACAAGGACATTTGTCCCAGAAAAGTGCTGCCCTTCTTTCATATGGCCCCTTTCTCCAGCCACAACAATCCTTGGTTGGCTCCACAGGTGTCTGGCTGTCAGTGTTTCAGACACACATTAGCCCCTTTATTTTCTAGGCTTCTGCAGTGTCCCCTTTAGTTACTTACTTTTAATTCTTCTAATCTGCTGCCATTGTTGCCTGTTTTAAATTTAAAGTATTAGATGAGATCCCAGTTCTGTTAAATCTCCTGGGAGCTGAGATCATTCACCTTTTCAAGTGTGAAAAATCCTTGACTGACAAACCCAAAGATGAACCCAGTCCTTCCTAGGCTGAGGTGGATGGAAGGTGTCTTGCTAGACTTGATGGAATCCATAATTTCTGCAGGACAGTATTTGGACAGTACTGGTTTCCTTGTAAAATCCCATCTTCAAATTCCTGAAAGAAAGTGTACAGACTGTACAGTTCCATGTCTACTCAGGAGAGTTTTCTTTGTCCTTTACAGTTAACAAGTATAGGACATGGCTGATTTTGTAGCTGTATCTGGAGTAGTGTATGATGGCCCCAAAAAACCCAGGGAAATATTAGAGCCCTACCATGGGCCAAGATCTGCCTGGTGAAACTGCTTCTGTTGACTTCAAAGACAAAGGATTCTCCTTGCAGAAAGCTGTCACAATGCAGATATATTTAATGTTTAGAGTTATGCTGTTGATGTATCTACTAGGAAATGAGTTACGTGCATGTTAAATGCGTTACAGCTGGGAAACAGTTTCAATAGCTGTGACAGATTTTTGTTTTCTCATGAAGGGATAAATTATTTCTAATGGAAGAAATGCAGGCATACTTTTCTTTAATACAGAGAGAGCTAAAAATAACAAAATTTAAAGGGCACACAGCGGGAAAGTCACAGATGCTTAGCTTGTGATTGATTGTTAGCCTGGATGGCCAAACGCATCTGAGCTTGAAACAAGAACAAAGCTGTAGAAACTACACAACAGCTGTGCTTGGGGCACTGGACACCAGCCGGTGCAGGGGCAGAGGGCAGCTCTTGTCCCAGGCTCAGCACAGCGCTCGAGATGCCCTGTGGTGCACCCTCTTCCTGTTCATGTGGAAGGAGTCTTCACCATGCTGTGGTGCACAAGCAGGGCAGGCGTTCTTCCTGCCAAGTGCTGCTTTGGTCCTGCACTGGAAGCTTTAATATAATCTAAGTGCTGCTCTCCTCGGAGCTGGAAATGACTCTCACGGACATTAAGGATCTCTCAAAGGGCATTCAAAGGTTGCTAAAGCACTGCATTAAGCGAATACTAAAGTGGTGTAAAGATCTTTTATGAGGATTTCATCTACTCCAGTGCTGCAATTTCCTTTAATTAAACCTTTTTGCTATTGTCAGTGAAAGCTGAGAGAAAAAGAGATGAGGGAGAAAAAAAACCCATCACATCTTCTTAGCCAGCATTTGCAAAGTGGAAAGTACCATGCCCTGAGAAATGCCTGCCTTCTGTGGCTCCAGGAAGGAGCCAGACAACTATGCTTCTGAGTGACTTCCTTATTTTTATTAATATCTCTATCAAAAATCCCTCCAAGGCATTATAATTCCTTATAATTATTATAATTTCTTGGAATAAACCACTGGCATTTCTGTGCACTACTGGCAAATCAGCGCAGACTGCTGATTCAGTAGCACCAGCTGTGTATCCCTCCTGGTTACTGAAGCTACCACAACTCAAATCGTTGCTTTCCCATCTCAGATGGATAAAATGTACTTTTCTATGTATGCTAAATGGACGTCTCAAACTAAGTTTAGCAATCCTCTTACTTCTCTTGCTCTCATGTTTCTCCCTCTCCTGTAAACACAGCTCTGTGCACAGTGCCAGTGACGCCTTTGCCAGTTGGCTTGCTGTGATTCAGTGTTTACTCACTCCTGGGTCAAGCAACATGTTAGGACAGGAAGTGTCTGGCTATCATTTACTAGCTTCTCCTTAAAGGCCGCTGTCTTCACCAGGGGCAGCTTTGCAGTGGAAAGGGTGAGGAAGTAACCGTGCTTAAAACAGAATTCAGGACCTGGCTCATGTCTGTTCCAGCTGGATCCCAGTGGCCGGCTTTGCCCCTGGGAGGACCACTCTAGCCCCATGAGCCACCAGAGCACCAGCTCCATGCAGTTCAATGCAGAACAACAAGAAGGTTTTCTCTCAAAACTGGAGCTGTGTGGTCTAGGCTAAACCTGAAGGCCAGGGTTGCCTAAAAGCCTGGATGTGGAGTCTTTGCTAGTGTGCCAGTAGACCTCCACTGCAAAGGCACGGCTTGTTGTTTCTGCAAGAGATAAGGCTGTTCTTAAGGCTGGAGTTTCTCTGACAGAGACTCATGCGCCCACATTTTCAAAAGGGGTTTCTTTGACCTGCTGTCTCAAATACAGCTCGAAAACAGTGTGGACGTGTCATGGTTTAACCTCAGCCAGCAGCTAAGCCCCACACAACTGCTCGTTCACTCTCCCACCAATGGGATGGGGCCGAGAAGGCTAAAAACTAGAAAACTCATGGGTTGAGATGAAGACAGTTTAATAGGGAAAGTCACACACACAAACAAAGCAAAACACAAAATTAATTTACTGCTTCCCATGGGCAAGTTGTGTTGAGTCATCTCCAGGGGAGCAGGGCCCCATCACATGGAACAGTTCCTAGGGAAGACAAACGCCATCACTCCAGATGTTGCCCCTTCCTCCTTCTTCCTCCCACCTTATACACTGAGCATGATGTCCAATATGGTATGGAATATCCCTTTTGTCAGTTTGGGTCACCTGTCCCAGTTGTGTCTCCTCCCAGTCTCCCATGCACCCCCAACTTCCTTGCCAGCGTGGCAGTACAGAGTGCAGTAAAGACCTTGGCTCTGTGTGAGGTGTGCTCAGCAATAACAAAACCTTCTCCATATTATCAACCCTGTATTCAGCACAAATCCAAAACCCAGCCCCATACTAGCCACTGTGAAGAAATTTAGCTCTGACCTAACCAAAGCCAGCACAGGATGTTAACTCAAAAAACCCAATCCTCCCCCACAAAGAAGCCAAGACAAAAAGAGCCCCTAGTGATTCAGAGCATTCTCCTGCCCACATACAACTTTATCCAAAGAATAGGGTAAAGGTAGGTTTTCACCAGACTCTGTAGAAATTAATTGCATCATTTAATGACCTAATAGAAGTTAGCCAGCTATGATGCTGAGGAAGATGGGGGCAAGACACAATCTCAAATACAGGTTCAAATTGCTCCTAATTTTTTCATAGTTACTACTCTGGAAAGAAAACCTGACTGGAAACTTAAATCAGACATTCTCTATAGGTAGGCTTGGGGGCGAAATTTCTAACTGCACTGCTGCTTAGCTCTTTGAATGGCAGGTAGCTAAAAGCCAAATGCTGCCACTGATGCACAAATCTATTGGTGGTGAGGCAGGCAAGAAGTGCTGGTGTTCATCCTGTGTGCAAACAGTGGACATTTCTCCTCAGCATTTGATTAACCTCTAGAGAAGAAACCTAAGGTAATTTCTTTTGATGCTTTGCAGTTCTAGAAGACAATTAACCTGTTTTTCAAGAAAACACTCTATGTTCTGGCCCACGCCTCAATTCTTCTGGTTCAGAGGCAGCAGCTTCTCATTGCTACTCTACAGATGTGTCCCTATTTGTTTGTGCAAAGATAGTCTTTTGGGCACCAAGGAGTCAACTTTGATAGCTGTTTGCCAAGACTTCAGACAGTCTCTCTCTGTGTTCCAGATCAGTGTGAGTTTCCCAGGTCTGTGAAGAACTGGGTTGAATTAGCATGTGCGTTACTAAGGGTGAAATTTCTTGCTGTTGCCTGAAGTCTCATTAAAAGACTTCATGCATCTTAATCTCACTTGGTTACATTTAGGTTAGTTTACATTACAGGATTCAGTGAAGTTAGATGGTTCAGTGTAGATCAGCCTGAGGTGGAGTTTATCTCTCCAAAAGATGCAAGACAAACCTCTTCCTGTCCCTGCTTTAGCACTGCATTGGGTTTACTAGTCTGTGATGAGAGGTAATCTATGGGTTGTTTGGAAGAGATAAAGGCCCTCCTATTTTTACTTTTAAATTCTCGTGTAGTTTCTTCGGGCTGCTGCTGCTGACTTTAGTGTTGAGATTAGACGGCAGTTGATAGGTGCTGGTACCTCTCGCCTCCTACTGGACTGGAAACTGCTGCCAGCACAAAGGAAAAAAGAAAGATATTTTGCAGTAATGGAGGCAGTAGCAGACAAATGCGGAGTCTGATACTCAGCTCTGGCGTGCCAGACCTCTTGGCCTGGGTGTCTCAGCTGTGATCTGGCCACCTGTGAAATTCCTTTCTCGATGGGCACCCTGCCATCCACTGACATTTGACATTTACAGCATCTAAGTGCAACTGTTGCAACTGCCATATGTCTGAAGTAGATGACAAGGAAACTGGAAGTTTGCTTTGGAAATCAGAGCCTCCTCTTGGGGCTACTAAGCAGTAAAATAACCTGGCATTTGTGCAATGGAAGGGCAGGCCAGGCTGGTGTAATAACACAACACATAAATGGACACCACTCTCTGTGGGCTCAGGCTGGCTACCTGTAAGGAGTGTGTTTTAGCTGCAGGGCCCCTGGCAAGAATTTTCTTGGGCAACAAAATGTGCATCTGAGGTTTAATGCACGTTTGAAAGTAGAAAGTTACTCTTCTTTGGCAACAGCTACCCCATAATCTCTGGCAAGCTCATCTAATTAAATTTGTTAGGGACACAGTGACCTGTGGATAAAAAAATAAAATGAGTCTGTGATTGCTCTAAGTCAGGAAGTTCTGTTTCCTATGGATTTTTATCTATAAGGTCTAGCTGAAGATGCACTGGTGTCAAAATGTGTGTATTTGCACATTACCTCATTCTTCAGACAGGACACAGGTATGCTTTTTCCCTTCTGTCCTGTCATGTATTTCACAAAACTTGCAGGAGTATAACTGTTTTCTAGGTCTCAGCTATACCACATTAAATTCAGTTGAAATTAGCTAATAGGTTTACAACTTGTTGAATACGGGTGCATGCACATGCCACACACACAGACTACAGTGACAAAAGGCTATTTTCCTTACAAAACCTGGGGAACACACTGTAATTGTTACTTTCTCTCTAACAGTAGCCAGATGTACCAAAGCCACCACTGTGCCAGGTATGGGAAGGGAGACCCTTTTATCAATTTCATATAAAATAGGTTTATTTTTAACTCTGGTAAGCTCAGTCATTATCACCCACAAGTGAACTGTTTAGACTGAAGAGTCCATCCTGTCCTTCATGAAGTTTCAGATGTGACCTCCAGCCCAGGCGGAGTTTCTTGCTTACCAGCCTGTTACTTAAGTCTTTATCAGCCATGGTATTGAGTCTGTAAGCAGAAAGAGGAATGACCAAGAAAACCCTAACATAGATTTAGTCTCTCCTGAACCAAATGAAATGTCTTTGTACTATGCAACGCAGACATGCTCAAGAGGTGAAGACGGTCTTTAACATCCCTTCAGTTGGTGCTGGGCTTTCCACCTCTTTTCCCAACCCCTCCTTTTTTTCCCCCTTTCTTTCTGTTAGCCTATCCTTTTCCATCAGAGATAGAACCTGCTTTTAGTGTGCGTGCACTCATCATTGATACTTTCTTCTCTCTCCTTGCAGGGCCCCAGGGCTGCTGCCATATGAGCCTTTCACAATGGTGGCAGTGAAAATGCTGAAGGAGGAAGCATCTGCAGATATGCAGGCTGACTTTCAGAGGGAAGCAGCCCTCATGGCAGAGTTCGACAATCCAAATATCGTCAAGCTTTTAGGTATCTCAGTGAGTCACCAATGTACAGAGTACCACCTTCTGCAAATCTGCTATGGGCTTGTTGGGGGTGCAGATGACTGGCATTTAATGCAAACGACAATGCTGGTCTCTTTTGCAAGAGAAGATTCCTCCTGCAAAGTTGTTAGCTTTTCTGTGTGCCACTGCATGCTCTGCTAAACTGTCCGCCAGAACAAATTTCAAAATATAGGTCTGATGCTGTTGCCTTAAGAGGATGATAATATTAAACTCTCCCTATGATGAATTGAATATCGCTGGCCATCTTGCTGCCTAGCTCTGTTTCCAGTTTAATAACATAGACACAGATGTCTTGCAGGGAAGACATGAACTTCCTGGAGCTGTGATTTATTTTGTGAGCACTCAAAAAACCAGGCACAAGTCTTGTTAGTTTTATGGGTCCCACTTACCATTGTGATGTCTGAATACTCACCAGCATTAAAAAACCAAAATTAAACAGATGAATAAAAAAAAGATAACCACAAAAATGGTCTTTTCCTTCCCTTTTCAGCTGAAAGGAAACCCTGCTTTATTGGGTTTTTTAGAAAGTCTTGATGCTGCAGCTTGGCTAATAGGGCATTCTTATGTGAAGGAAGCTGCTGACCAAATTTTTCTTCAGTAAATTGTCATTTTTTGTTTGAAGTAGATGCTGCTAGCCACTAGCAATCCTGCTCTAAGTTGTATGCAGATCTGATCCCTCTGAACAGACCGCTGAGATCTCCATTTATGTCAGTAGGAAGCTCCACGAAATTTTGAGACAGATAAACCAGAGTTTGGGAAAGCTGGGGTGATACAAGAACTTTGGCTACAGAAAAGAAAAGCAGGAAATGCTCCAAACTCAAATAAACATTGTGTTTATTGTCAACACATTTTAGGTCAGGAAAGGACAAAGGTACAGGAACAAACTAGTTTCACATCGTGGGGTGTGGAGAAAACAGACATATTGTTGAAGACAGCTTAGACAATAAATCTCTCACAATGTTGTCAGATCCTGATTTTATCACACTGGAAACAGCTATCTGTTTTTCTTCAAAGATTCAAATGTTAGGTCATCAACAAAAATTCCACATTTCACAATAACTTGGATCACCAGTTGCTAAATGATGGCCCTAAGAAAGCAAAACACATACCTTTTAAATGTTGGCTTTTTCTGGTTGGCAATTTAATGATAGGCACACAAATACTGTTACTATATGACTGTATGCTCAGTAAGGTTCGTGAGAGTGTGGTCCTGTACTGAGGCTGGCCCACCAATAAAGATGATGTAGAGACAAGCATGTACCCTTCAGTGGGACTAGATTCTGCATCTTTCAGATATGGTAAATGTGTCCTTTCTAGCGCCTGTTTTTACTTTGTCTTTCTTTCATTTCTAAGTATCTCTCATGCCAAAAGTAATTTCTGCAACCAACATTTTTTTTGCATGAGCTGTTTAAAACAAAACAAAAATCCAGAAGAGGCTGTAGTGGGAGTTTCTTTGCATTTCTAGTATCCCTTTGAACCCTTGAACATGACCCTTGTGATTACTTCTGGAGTCTTCCTGCATTTGTATAGTCCCTACATCAATATTAGTATTAGTACAATAATTGCAACCAATAAAGGAATTAAAAACTGGCATGATCAGAACAATAAAGGCCACTTCTTGAAACTATGCCCTTGCACTTGCACTTGTGAAGAGGCAATACTTCTGTTAATGCCAAATTAAGCAGGATTGGGCTCTTCAGTAAACATAGTTCCAAAAGCGTATATTTTTTCTGGGATGTCCAGGCAAATCAGGCAACTGCACACTTTGTTACCAGCTCCCACAGAGCTCAGCATTAGATCTCTGGTGAAGGAGTTTCAAAGACCTGGCATGCGTGATGGATGCCTGCAAACCTGATGGTGTTTGCATGGTTTACCTTTCTCTCTGGCCCTTCATTTATTTGTTGAAAGTCTCCCTTTTGTGCAAGCGTTTTTGGATTTTTTTTGGGTTTTGCACAGCAGAACTCTTTGCTACTGCAATGACTTACGTGGTGCATCTATCCTTTTTCAGGTGTGTGTGCTGTTGGGAAACCAATGTGTCTGCTGTTTGAGTACATGGCCTATGGGGATCTAAATGAGTACCTGCGTGACCGCTCGCCCCGCAGTCTCTGCAGCCTGGCACACAATAGCTTGGACACAAGCATTCGCCTCCCTAACCCACTGGAACTGTGCTGCACCAGCCAGCTCTGCATTGCCAAGCAGGTTGCTGCTGGCATGGCATACCTCTCTGAGCGCAAGTTTGTCCATCGGGATTTGGCCACCAGGAACTGCCTGGTGGGGGAGAACATGGTGGTCAAAATTGCTGATTTTGGTCTCTCAAGGAACATGTATTCAGCTGACTATTACAAAGCGAATGAGAATGATGCCATCCCCATCCGTTGGATGCCCCCTGAGTCCATTTTCTACAACCGTTACACCACAGAGTCTGATGTGTGGGCCTATGGGGTGGTGCTGTGGGAGATCTTCTCCTATGGCATGCAGCCCTACTATGGGATGGCTCATGAAGAGGTCATCTACTATGTGAGGGATGGGAACGTCCTCTCCTGCCCAGACAATTGTCCCCTGGAGCTCTACAACCTAATGCGCCTCTGCTGGAGCAAGCTGCCTGCTGACCGGCCAGGCTTTGCCAGCATCCACTGCATCTTGGAGCGCATTTATGAGAGGGCTGTTGCCACCATGTCGGTCTGAGGGATGTGTTTCCTTGCGTTTCCTTCTTTGGCTCCTGTGTCCACCCATCCAGACTGACTTGGACCAGGCCTGAGTGATAGTATCTTCACATAAAGTCTCACTTAAAGGAGAAACATCTTGTCCTCTGCCAAGAAAGAAATGTGGACTGTACCCCCATATGAACCTCTCTGAGTGGGACTGTAGCCCCAGACCAACAAGGCTGACCTCTGGCTACCGAGCCAAGACTCCTCAGGTTGGTGAGGGTGCAGGCCATGCTAACTCAGTACCTATATTAAGCATTTCCAGGAGCACAGAATTTCCCAGGGAAAGCAAAATATGTCCCTCCATGTCCTTCTGCATTTATGCTCTTTGCTTTTACTTTTTTTCCTTCCTCATATGTTTTCAAGTATTATTTAAAAAAAAAGATTGCAGAATTCAATCTTTTTTTGGGGATACTGTTTATAATTTTATTTTTGCATACTGTTTATTATTTTATTTTCACATGCTCACTGCTTTTTGCAGGAAAAGGATGATTCTGAAGCAATAGGCTACTTTCCTTCTCTTTTTAGCTTCCACTTTCTTTTTGACACACATGACAATAGCATTGACAGAGCCAAACCAGGAGCCTGCACGATCATGAGCAGCTACCAGCATCTCATGTTAGACAGGAGAACTCCTGTCAAGCATGGAACCTTACATTTTCAAAAGCAGGAAATCCACAGTGAGGTTCATTTGATGTTTGCCAAGGTCTCACCCTAAAGCTTGCCTTAAGCATTGCAGCCTATCTTTCTTGCCTTCCTCTGCAGCAAGAAAGCCATTTGGTGCAAAGGGAAAAATACAGCCCAAAGGCCTGGTCCTGCACCTTGTAGGTATCATAGAATCATGGAATCAACCGGGTTGGAAGAGGCCTCAAAGACGATTGTATCCAAGGCATATTAATTTGCCTCCACAAGCAGTATGGTTCTCACTGCACCAAAAGCAGGGAGAAATGCAGTCCCTCTTGCAGAAAAATGGCAAGTTATGCTAACTATTTCTATCCTTTTCTTTTCCAATCTTTGCCTCCTGTTTCTGGTTTTCCTTTCCTGACAGCAACTTCTAAAGCCCCACTACAATGTTTGCTGGTCACCTTTCCCTGTGCTACAGTTTAGAGACACAGAATTAAGGAAGGTGGATGTCTTCCATCAGTGGCCTTCAGAGACAACCTGCTGGTTAGGAAAAGGTGGAAAAAGTGAGAGTTCATACTCCACATGAGAAGTGTTGCAGACTGTCCATCTGCAGGGCAAAGATGAGATATCTCCATTACCCAGTCTGCAGCCCACCTCCAAACACAAAGTGCCATTTGCTAAAAGTTCTCCAAATAAAGTATACAAATGGATACTTTAGTACCAGAGAAAACTGTATTCATCTGAGGACAGGTTTCACCTTTTAGCTCCTTGGGGAGTGAGGATTGGTTACCCCAGAGCCTTGTTGCTGATATGAAACACAGCCTTAGACAGGGATGTGCATCATGCCTGCAGAGCAGGAGCACCAGTGAGTGAGCATTCAGTGTGGCTTCTGTAAGTGGGACACGCTGGTTGAGTCCATCCGAAAAGCAGCACTGGAGAGCAGTAATCTGTAGGACTACTAGGAATAGACTTGGTTTCTGAAAAGCTCTGCCAGCTACTATGAAGAACAAAACTGGAAAGCTGCTTTCCTGTTTGGCTTTTTTTTTTTCCCCCAGATAATCTCAGTTCTTTCTGGTTGTGGCCACAAGAGCATAGTTTAATGTTTTCAGACCACCGGTGTCAATTTCACTTGGAACAAAGAGCTTGCAGCTACCCAGGGCAGTGGGAAGAGGGAGGAAGATTGGGCTGCACAATGTGGAAGCGCTAAAAGTGCTAGGATATCTGCACAGTGAGCACAAGAATGACTAGTGCTGTCTTACTCATTTAGCAGCCCAACTATCATGTGACTATGACACAGCAGTTTACTGAAGATTGCATGCTAAAAACAGATACCCTCAGAAACCCTGAAACCCTCAATTTAAGTAAAAGAATTACAGGAGTTCCTTACATAGTTCCTGTTACCACATTATGACCACCTTGCATTGCTCAGCATTAAATTCTGTGAGTTTGTGTAAGCTACCTGTTTGTCCTCTCTGTTCTGAGGTGGCAGGAGGCAGGAGGCAGGTCTGGAGAGATGGGGCGTGAATGTCATCCCCGTCTGAGTGGAGGTGGCTGCTGCTTCTGCTGAGCCTTACTGCACAGCCCAGCAGCTGCTGTAAGGGAGGGTGCACATTTGAGATTCTTGCAGTGCAGGAGACAGCAGGCATTTTGTCACTTTCTTAAGAGAGGGCAGCGTCAGACTTTGTGCGTGGGTAGTGGTGTGGGCCCAGGTAGTCAGCACCTCCTCCTAATCTCAAATGATTCTCACCCTAAGCCCAGGGCACAGTAACAGGTTGCAAAACTTGCACCATGAGCTAATGTAAACAAACACACCCATTTAGAGCCTGGAGGACTATTCTGCCCTTCTGCTTTCTAGGATCTCAGTGCTGACTTGGATCACTCCCTCTCTATTTCCCCCAGTGAGAAGGTTTTGAAACCACAATCATAGTTTTCTTCTTGTTAGATGCCTGCAATGTCACATGCTTGGAAGTTTCCCTCACTTTGTGAAAGATGGAATCCCACGTACTTGGAAGGGTAGCCCTTGTCATGGCATTTTCCTAGCCCAAATCCTCTCAGTGACCCCATATTCAGGACAGTAGTGCAAAATTTGGTTTTCCTTGTCCAGCATTCCAGCCTTCCCACTATAAGCATGCACTGAAGTGTGTGGTAATCAGTGACTGAAGGCCAGGATAGAAAATGCTTTCTGTGTTGTAAGAGGAACAAGATAATTTCAAGACAGACTTGGAGAAGGTCACAGCAACATGCTCTCTGAGGATGGTAATCACTTCTGCCTACTGATCCAGCAGGAGGGATGAGCACCTAAATGGTAGTGTCCTTTGAGGATTAAATGGTAGGCAGAACTTGTGCTGCCTTGGTGAGTAGCTGGATTTTACTGTTTCCTCCCGCTGTATACTTTTCAGCTTACTAAAAGCTGGAGATTGAACTACTTTCACTATATGCCTTCTTTCACAGATTTTTTTTTCTCCTCTTATCTGAGATTTCTGCTTTCTTCATTCTATGTTATACAGTGTACTACTCCAGATCCTTCCAGACTTTCTGCACAACTATCATGTAACACAAATTATTTTGAATGTGAGTAAACAAAGGAACCAGAGTAGAAAAGAAAGGAAAAATTGTAACTCAAAAAGTTGTTTGGAAATAAAAATATTTTGCTTCTCTAGTTTAGTTTTATATTTCATGTAGAGAAAGAGGATGAACCAAAAATTAACATTTCGTGTTCATTTTCTAACATTTGTGTGCTACAGTGTAGAACACTTTTCTACATCTAGCCTTATCTGGACTGGCCCCCAAAATATGGAATGCTTCATGAATTTGCATGTCACCTTTGTGCAGGGGCCATGCTAATCTACTAATTTTAAATGAACATTTTTTATGCTTTGGTCCCCAGTGGCACCAGATGAGAACCCCGAAAAGAAAGGATTTTCAGCGCATTCAATGTACCCATTCCCTCTGCAAGTGCACTGCCTAGAGCGTTTGCAACACACACACAGCTTTATCCTGGGTGACATATAGTGAAATCTGATCAACCAAACAGCACAGAAATCCCTCATGTTCCTGTGACTCTGTTTAACAGTTGCATTTAAAATGCATTGTTTAAAGCATAAATTCCTTAATTGATTTGACACTGTCTGCAGCATGATCAAATTTTGTTTGGAGGAGTTGCCTCTCAAACATTTTGTGGACTAAACATACCTGTGTTGTCTCATTTCCCTGAGGGTATATGCTAGTTATTATTCTGTGATTGTTTGTTATACATTTCATGAATGATGGCTTTGAAAGGCATCCCTAGCAGAGATGTACATTTCTCATTATCTTAACCTGTGTAAATCATGTGTGTATTATTTTATAAAACAAAGAGATATCAAAAAGCTTAATACTCTGTTCTCTCTGTTTTCTTCCTTCTCCAGTGCCATTTTGGCTTGGTTTGGTTGGGATTTTTGGGTTTTTTTGTTTGTTTGTTTTGTTCTGCTTTGGTTTTTTTCTTTGAAAATGGATTTATTTTATTTTATTTTATTATTACAGCTTCAATATCACAGTGATTATACTGCAGGCAATTGCAGTAATAGGTCGACTTCTTATGTGTGCTCAAAGGCACGTTGTTTTGGTGGGTTAAATTGGGTGCTACAGGAACACAGTAAGAGACTTTACATTATGAGAACACATTAAGACAAAATGAGGTGCTTCAAATGAAGATACCCATCAAGTTCCTATCTAGGAGGCCAGATCAGAGTTGGAGAACATTGGGCTCACAGCGTGGTGAGTTCCTGTCCTGACACTGAAGATGCAAGGAGGAGGGAAAGGAGGATGTTTTTACAGCAATGTGGGCTGTAGTCCCTTGACCACATTCCCAATGTGAAAGATGTCACATGTAGATGGAAATGACATCTGCCTCTCTCCCAGTTTCTGCTGGTGTTTGTGTCTGAATTCTGATGTCACACCTAGGTGTGCAGGGAATAAAAGTGCATTGTAAAATCATAGGGAAATTGAATTTACTGTCGGTAGAATACAGTTGAGATAAGTTTCCTACTTTTGGATTTGTCTAAAAGGTTATAACTCCTTTTTCTGTACATGATTCTTGAACATGAATTCATTCAGTAAGCCTATGGGAATTTTGACTATTTTAAAATTAATTGCAAATCTGTAACAATCAGAAACGGGTAATAAACTTCCTGACTACAATTAGCCAGGCAAACCATGAAGTATATTCTTTCTTTTTTTTCTTTTTCCAAATACAATACAAAATATTTTCTGAAAATTGTCTTGCTAGAAATCTTAGCAAGCGTGTTTTGTAAATGTTGTCTTCATTGAGAAAGTCAATAATGAACTAGGAAGAGAGTGACATTTTTTCCGTTTTCA